TTTACTAACTATACAGAATTGCCAGACAGATTCTAGGAGGATTGCCAAAGGACTGTGAAAACAGAGCAATTGAATCTTCTGTCTCTGGTTTTGTTTACGTAAAGTATTTGAACTCTGTAACTTGAAGTTTTCATCTGTGGATACAGGTGGGACAGAACAGTCTAAGACTGCAGAAAGTTATAGACCTTGATGAGCCTTGGCTTCATTGAACATAATCCAGAGTTGAAAGAGCAATATTCCATACCTCGTCCTGTTGGAGAATTGTCATGAGTGCTGGCATCACAATGGCTGGCTGGCTCCGAGCTGCATGTATAATATGAAATACTAGATCCTTTGGGTTTGTTTCTTCTGAGAATTGCAACAGTTGATGGATGGAGCAGAGATGTCCTGGGCAAAAATTCCAAAATTATGGAGGAAAAACAATAACATGCCCTTGGTTTCATGGGGGAAAAGACTTCTTTGTATTTTTAAATGTGTTTTAATTAAAAAGTAAACCTTTAATTAATAATTGAATTGAAAATTGAAAAGTAAAAGGAAGAGTCAGTTAGGAGTAGTAGTTAAGGCACTTAGTTAGAAACTGGGAGACTGTGAATTCTAGTCCTGCCTTAAGCACAAAGCCAACCGGATGACTTTGGGCTGGTCATTAAGTAGCAACTAATGGCAAACCACTTCTGAAAAAAGCACTTTGCCAAAAAAACTGCATGGAATCTAGGCAGTCACTAGGAATCAACACTGATTCATGCACGCCCACGCCCACATACACACAGAGGAGATTGTTATGCCCAAAAAAGAAATCTTTATATTCCATGCTTCAAGACCACAAATTGGTTCACAAAAGTTAGAAAATAAAAATGGCAGACAGGTGCAGCATAAGAAGGATGTCCATTTGTAGAAAAAGGGCAAAAGCAAGTAGAGGCACGAAAGATCCTTTACATTTGATGGCCTGCTACCAAGTCTATTACACATTATATTTAGTATTTATTGCATTTATTTACATTGCCCTGAACATATAAAAGTCTTACCTCCACTTGATGGTATTCCCTCATCAGCCATATGCTCATACTGCTTCTGTTTCGTGTTTACTGTCCAATGGTGAAAAAAGCAGTGATTGTGGTTTGCATTTACCCTCCCCAACTCACCTCCCATTCTTATGAAGGTGATGCAATTATTTTTCTCTTGCAGAATATGACAAGTCTTTATGGCGTCCCTATCATTGGCTTAGGTATGTGTGAACAAACAACATAATGGCTTCTTTTGTTGGGTATAGAATTGTGTATGCGGCTGCATTTTAACAGCTTGGAATTGGGCTGTACCATGATGTATAAAGCAAGCCAAGCACTAGCCTGGATAGGTTGTCATGCCCCAGAGTGAAGTTTCAGAAATGGCAAATGACATGGCAAGAAAATTGTATAGACCTCCCTCCCACCTGGCAAGGTTCTTACAGGGATCCCCCACCCAGCTCACTTTGTTCTGGGTTGAATGTTCAGATCTTGCCTTGATCATTCCCAAAGACAGAGAAGTCCTAAAGGGTGGCTGATGGCTGAGATGGACCAGGAACAGTGTGTCCCAGAGACAAGTTCCAGTTGACCTTGGTCAATGGAACAACAACCTTCACAGAGCTCTGTGACATCACTGGAAACCTGGGAGCCCTTGGTTCATTCATATGAACCATGTCAAGGAAGAGAGCCAGCAAAGAAATATTGGAGCAAGATTCACATTTTAATACAGAAGATTCTTAAAGTGAATATAAAGATAAAACCAGATACTTTTCTTTTGGGCTTAAGGGATACAGAATTTAAAATCTATATATAACTTTGATATTACATATGCTGACAGCAAGAATACTCTATGCACAAAAATAGATACTTTGATTCCCACATTGGCAAATGGCTACAAATATTAATGGTGTTAGCCAAGATAGTTAAATTGACTACTTTGATTAGAGAAAATAATTCCATTAACTTTGTTTCTACTTGGAAACCACTTTTGGACTTTGTGGTCGAGGTGGAAAAAAACTGAAACTTTGATTTTGGGCTTTGTTGATTAGATAGGTTCCAAGTAACGAACCCAACCAATTCAGCAACTCTGAGACTTTTAACTTTCTCAGAGAACTGCTTTGTTGAGTACAACATTTTGGCAGTTGAAAAACAAACCAGCTCTGGCTATTTCCCATGCTTTCAGTACAATTAAAGATTAGACAGCTCCTTTCCTCGTCACAGGTCACGTTGTCCAATTAGATGTTCTGACATCTCCTTGGTAACCTCTTCCAGTCTCTGGCCAGTACTGGTAGGATGATCTTGGTTCCCATGAGATAGAAAGTTGTTGATGTCTGGTCTGATATTCTAAAGCTCCCTCCTCCCCCCAAAGTGTGTCAAGCTGAGAAACGGGGAAAATGGCTGCAACAGGCCCAATCTGTTTTGAAGTTGGCAATAGTTTGTTGTCGAATGTTTAGTGTACGCTATTATGTAAAAGTAAAAAGTTGAGGTTGTATGTTATTACCTTATTCTACTGGGTTGTTGTTGTTGTTTTTGCTTTTTCCCTTTACCTTATACCAGGGGTCTTTAAACTTGACAGCTTTAAGACTTATGGACTTCAATTCCCAGAATTCCTCCTCCAGTCATGTTAGCTCAGGAATTCTGGGAGTTGAAGTCCATAAGTCTTAAACTTGCAAAGTTTGAAGACCCTTGCCTTATACGGTATTTTTTTCCCCTTCCCTTTCCCTCCCCTATTTTCATTTTTATTTGTATTTCTGAAGTTTATATTTTGATAAACTAATTAAAAATTTGAATGTAAACAAAGGAACGAGTCATAACACTAAGGTAATCCCCAAATCGGGAAAGCAACTTGGAAACCCTTTGCACCAAGACAAATTCCTTGTGTCTCCAATCACACTTGGCCAATAAAGAATTCTATTCTATTCTATTCTATTCTATTCTATTCTATTCTATTCTATTCTATTCTATTCTATTCTATTCTACAGGTAAAACTCAAAAAATTAGAATATCATTCAAAAGTTCATTTATTTCAGTAATGCAACTTAAAAGGTGAACCTAATATATGAGATAAACTCATTACATGCAAAGCAAGATAGTTCAAGCTGTGATGTGTCATAATTGAGATGATTATGGCTTACAGCTCATAAAAACCCCAAATCCACAATCTCAGAAAATTAGAATATTGTGAAAAGGTTCAATATTCTAGGCTCAAAGTGTCCCATTCTAATCAGCTAATTAAGCCATAACACCTGCAAAGGGTTCCTGAGCCTTTAAATGGTCTCTCAGTCTGGTTCAGTAGGAATCACAATCATGGGAAAGACTGCTGACCTGACAGTTGTGCAGAAAACCATCAATGACACCCCCCATAAGGAGGGAAAGCCTCAAAAGGTAATTGCAAAAGAAGTTGGATGTTCCCAAAGTGCTGTATCAAAGCACATTAATAGAAAGTTATGTGGGAGGGAAAAGTGTGGAAGAAAAAGGTGCACAAGCAGCAGGGATGACCACAGCCTGGAGAGGATTGTCAGGAAAAGGCCATTCAAAAGTGCTGGGGACTTTCACAAGGAGTGGACTGAGGCTGGAGTCAGTGCATCAAGAGTCACCACACACAGACGGATCCTGGACATGGGCTTCAAATGTCGTATTCCTCTTGTCAAGCCGCTCCTGAACAACAAACAATGTCAGAAGCGTCTTACCTGGGCTAAAAAAAAACAGACCTGGTCTGTTGCTCAGTGGTCCAAAGTCCTCTTTTCTGATGAGAGCAACTTTTGCATCTCATTTGGAAACCAAGGACCCAGAGTCTGGAGGAAGAATGGAGAGGCACACACTGCAAGATGCTTGAAGTCCAGTGTGAAGTTTCCACAGTCTGTGTTGATTTGGGGAGCCATGTCATCTGCTGGTATTGGTCCACTGTGCTTCATTAAGTCCAGGGTCAATGCAGCCGTCTACCAGGAGATTTTTGGAGCACTTCATGCTTCCTTCCACAGATGAGCTTTATGGGGATGCTGACTTCATTTTCCAGCAGGACTCGGCACTTGCCCACACTGCCAAAAGCACCAAAACCTGGTTCAATGACCGTGGGATTACTGTGCTTGATTGACCAGCACTCATCTGACATGAATCCTATAGAGAATCTATGGGGCATTGCCAAGAGAAAGATGAGAGACATGAGACCGAACAATGCAGAAGAGCTGAAGGCTGCTATTGAAGCATCCGGTTCTTCCATAACACCTCAGCAGTGCCACAGGCTGATGGCTTCCATGCCATGCTGCATTGAGGCAGTAATTGCTGCAAAAGGGGCCCAAACCAAGTACTGAGTACATATGCATGCTTCTACTTTTCAGAGGTCCGATATTGTTCTATGTACAATCCTTGTTTTATTGGTTACATGTAATATTCTAATTTTCTGAAATTGTGAATTTGGGGTTTTCATGAGCTGTAAGCCATCATCCTCACAATTATGACAAATCACGGCTTGAACTATCTTGCTTTGCATGTAATGAGTCTATCTCATATATTAGTTTCACCTTTTAAGTTGCATTACTGAAATAAATGAACTTTTGCACGATATTCTAATTTTTCAAGTTTCACCTGTATTCTATTCTATTCTATTCTATTCTATTCTATTCTATTCTATTCTATTCTATTCTATCCTATCCTATCCTATCCTATCCTATCCTATTCTTTCCTTCCTACAAGAATCCTAGGAAGCAGGAAGCAGGAATTTCACAGCCCCAATCCCTGCATGAGTCATTAGGAGATTCACAGGTGGCAGCACCACCTGAAATGGAGCCCACAACTTCCCAGCTATTCTGTACCCTTTGCTTGAATTCAAGGCAATTTTGGTTATGCATAGAAGATAAAGGATGGAGACAAAGATGCAATGTACCAGTAGCATCCTTGTTCTCTAGTTTACTGGAAGGAAAGAAACTTTTTTTAAAGTTGTTTTTCTAAGAAATAAACCTCTTTACAAATAGTAATATTGAAATATCATTGTTTTAATTGTCCCATGTTATAAACAGAGTGCAGATACAATATGTATATTTGTGTGTGTGCATGTTTGTGGGTGTTATGGTGTGTTTATGTATACTGTATATAATTATACATACACTTAGGTACAAAAACACATCCATGTACACAAAATAAAATACTGTACAACATGGTTGCCTTCCTAAGGCATAGAATGTTTTGTCATCTCATGATCTTGTGTGAAGAAAGGGAGAAAAATTGAGGTTTCTGTCACATCCTTTGAAGAAACAGCAGTCCGAGCACCTATGTCCAGCATCACATGGCCCACCCTCCAGATCCAAACTGAGATTCAGGACTCCCTGATAAGTTGCAAAAGCAAAGGTGAGAACCCAAGGCGTAGAGCTGGCTGGGGAATTCTGAGAGTTGAAGTCCACGCGTCTTCAAGTGGCTGAGGCTGAGAAACACTGGTGGAGAACATCTTAGAAGGCAGCAGGCTGCTTGATGATGCTTTCATCATTGTGAGCTTCAGAGGCTGAAGTACGAATCAAATCTTGAGGAAGGCTTTCCCGGGCTTCCTGCATCCGGTGACGAGCCCGTTGGAAAGCCTCTGCAACCAAGAGAACAGGCATGATGGTTAGGTGATGGTTCAACCTGCACAGTCAGCTAGTTCCCCTGCCTGCCCACTCCTTCCTTCTAGATTTTTTAACCGAAATCCCATGCTGAAATATTCAAAGCATGTGATGGGTTGAATACATTATGCAGGTTAGAAAGTATGTCTAATTTCTAATAGCTCTGTGGGAGAAAGAAAATGTATTGTGCAAAAACAAAACAATGATTTTGAATTCCCCTTACTCCCTTGTTCTTACACACCACCCAGAAGAACAACAAAAAAATTTTTTTTTAAAAAAAGAACTGGGTATACAAAGTTATTTTAAACTTAAAAAAAAAATATTACTCCTCTGGCAAATCTGAGTTTTTCAAGTAAGAAACAGAATGCCACGTTTTTCATTAAATAGATAAAACACTATCCTCTTTAAATGATCCTGATGTTCAAAATAATTTAAAACAATATTTAATTAGAAGACTTTTTCATCCTTAATTAAAAAAATGAATAACCACCTATTAATTTGGGCGTTTTAAAGAAACCACTACCATACATTGAACTAAATGATGAAACAATTTAGAATTAAAATGCATAAAATGGCCATTGAGAATCCTAAGAACAAAAACAAGTGCCCTGCATGATTGGACCCCTGGACCATCAGTCTGTTATCACAGTGACCAACTCAGGACACAAGGAAGCCCACTAGTTTCCCAGCAGATGGCCTTTAAAGCAGTTACACTATCATCAAGGCTAATAATCATTAGCCCCTTGGACTTTCATCCCATGATTTCATCTAACCCATTTCTGAAGTCAACTTAGTTGGTAGCCAACAACATATCTCACAGTAGCAAATTTCAAAATGTAATTATGCATTAATATTTCCTTTTGTCTATCCTGATTCTTCCAGGATTCAAATTAATTGAGTGACCTCTGGTTCTAGAATTTTAGGAAGAGGAAAATAGCTTCTTGTCCACTTTAACTGCGCCATGCATAATTGTGTGACATTTCAGTCATGTCCCTTTCATCTACCTTCTAAAAAAGACCAAATATTGCAATCTCTCCTGATACGGAAATTGTAATGACCAAGATCCAAATAGTTCTGCTTTGCGCAAAAAAAAAAAAACCCCTACCTGTTTTTGTGTCAAAAGCCTTACCTAAAACATTATAAAGGGAACTTTGCTGACTGAAGTTTCCTAGTCGATCCAGAACACTCCGCATGCGTTTCTTCATGGAGCTGGACTCCAGAAAAGCTCTGCCATGAAATAAGTTTTACACTTTAAACTTTTAAATTTTGAGGACTAGTCATAAGTACTATTGTTCGGTGTTGTTGCAACTTTAAACAAGTGATCAGTAAGCAAGAACTATGTATGTGCTTCCTTACGTTTGCATCTGTATCAATGAGAATATCAAAATTAGGCATTTGAATCCAAAGGCAGACAACCAAGCTGATAACGGAAGCCACTTTTTGCTGAAACCTCTTTAAATACAGAAGGAAAGAGATTCTCTTCCCTATGCATGTTCAGAATGTCCAGAAATTGTCTCTCTAGTGAAGAGAAAATCTTACTTGGACTGCTGCAGGCAGTTCAGCCGGAAAGTGACACTCCCTGTTGTTTCAGAACGAAAACCAAAACGGCTGAGACGATCACCCTGCACAGAAGATAAGCATCAGTCTAGAGGAAGTCCTATCTGAGTTTTCATCCTTCTTTCTCAGTAAATCTGTCAAATTCTGGACCATAATGCTTTGAAGAAAATGTGGGTGGGCACGGGGAGGCAGGCACTCACTGTGAAAGTACTTGGCACTTTGGTGTAGGTTATATCCTCAAGCTCCGGAGATCCCCCAATGAAAAACCTCCGTAGTTCTGAAATGGTTCCCAACTCCACAGGACGCCATGTAGAAACAGACAGAGTGTGAACCCCTGAATCATCAGGTTGAACAGAATTGATGCCAGGAAATATGGGGGGGAAAAAATCAAAAGCCTACTCAGAACATGCATGCCCACTACCAGTACGTTAGCCACTGAGATCACAATATAAAAGTTGTAGTGAAATGCAAGGCATAGGAAGTGTGTACTACAAGCAAAGGAAAATTTAGAGATACTCTACAATAGATAAGAGAAGCTGGATTTTCATGGCTTGTAAAAGCTGCCATAATACTTCTTTCACACATGAAATTCTATTTATATATTTCCTGGCTTATGTGACGTCTCAGGCACAGAGTGACTGTGGGTGGCTTATGGACTATAAATCATAGTTTATATAATGCAATGACTATGTTTGTATCATATTAAGACAAATCCAAACAACCACATTACAGCTTAGCACAATGTACAAACTCGGCAAATTTGTCCATCTCTTGGCAGTGACCATAGGAGATGTTCACATCACTTGGTGCATTAATCTTTTACCAAGGATATATTATCCCATTTGAATGGAAGGAAAGCAATCCTTCTAAACCTTAAATCATCTGCCCCCCCACCCCGCCCCCAAAATTGTTGTATGTTAATCTCCTCCTAATGTGCTAAACTGAACAACAGCAAAGGACAAATGCCCCAAAACACCCAGGAAATTTCACCAATCAGTAGGAATGTGAGTCTGCTAGCAGAATGATAGAAAGGCATGATGAAGAGAGTGTCTACTGTACGCTTGCCATCTTAAATGCTAAGAGCATGCCATCTTAAAAAAAGTTTCTAGAATTCCAGCAGTTAAAAAAAATAAGACTTTTCTTAACTACAGTTAATCAGAAGAACACCTAGTACTAAAATGTATGATGAACGTACTAGAGGCAAGTAAAAAAATAAAAAATGTATTTTGATTTTGATTTTATGTAAATCACCATAAAAGTGGTTATGTACAGCAAATCAAATAAATAAATAAAAATCAATAAACAAATCTGCCTCATGCGTTGCACCAATACAAGTTCAGTTCTACCGCTGTCTTTTACCTGGCGTTGCTGGCAGCACTACAAACCCATAGCCTTCAACACGGTACCTATGCCAGAAATCCAAGGAAAGAACCTCAAAGTACAGGACAGGCCACTCAGGGAGGGAACCTATAAGAGGAAGGAAGACAATGAATAAGACACCAGCCAGACTTGCATCAATGTCATGTTTTATTCCAGGGTAAACAGTAGGGCAATTCTGCTGATGGAGGGATGTTGAAATGCAGCTTTCCACTAGAATCAGAATGAGCCATTGCTCAGGGGCACAATCCTCTGACATAGTTGCAAGTGTTCATTGAAATGAATACAAGCTATGAAACACATCCTATTCTTCTGCAGGTCCCACCCATTACTGTAGAGTTGTTTTTTTCTACAGCAGAAATGTACAATTGGAGGCTTCAAGGCTATCTATAGTCCCTTGAAACCGTGGCTTCAGTTCTGACAAATCTTCAAAAGTTGTAACCAATTTGTAATTTTTAATATTGGAGAAGGTGAGTGAATATATAAGTGGAGAGTGATCAGATTAATTACATTTAGCTGCAATTAAATTTTAATATGTGTTCAATTTTTAAATATAATTTTTGTTTGTCACTAACAATCTTCGGGGTGGTAATGATGGTGGTATACCTCCCAAAGGCTAAATATCAACTTCAGTCTAGAAGAAATTGTGCATTCGCAAGCTAGAGAATGTTCCAGAGAATTACACCCCATAAATTAAATCCCTGTGACTCCAATGTGACAGTCCAACCAATCCCCCAAAATGGACAAAATATTCAAATCCATTAGAGCAGAATCACTTCTGAACTTCTTTCTCACACACAATGGCATGACTCACCTTCCAAGTCATCCTCTTGGGTGAAGAACATCTCCAGGGTAAATGGGAAGGAAAAAAAAGCCACCCTATGCTGGGAATGAAAAATAGTAGTATCATCTTTTACATGGGGCAGTAGGGAACAGAACATCCTGTGTGTGTTTGTGTGTGTAATGGGATAAGAAAACAAGCAAATAGGCCCTCAAGAGGGAGGTGACTTAAGCTTGATTTAGAGTTGCCTGCAACTGTGCCTAAGTGTTGCTCATATGTATGCTGTGAAAAGATTGATGGATAAGCGTAGGATTCGCAGATGTATAACTGCAACAGCTATGCAACTGTCTCCAAATGACAGAGGCATATATTCCCTGATGATGGAGAAGACTAATCCAGGCTTTAGACCAGGGCTATCATGCTGGATGCGCCATGACTGGCCCACGCCCACGCCTGGTTTAGCGAAGGGGGAAAAAAGTCCCAATATGTCACGTGACACTGCTGTGACGATGCGAGTTTGACACCCCTACTTTAGACCAATAGAATTGACTCCACTGGTTTTGTGCCAACACTGAAGAATTCATTTAGTCCAAGGGGGGTGTCCAAATATTTCCAAATATTTGTCTACATGCTTGAAGATCTTCTCCAATCTGTTCTCCAGATTTAATTTTTATTTTTATCTTTTTAAAAATTATATCATTTTGTATAGTTTCCCATCTTGCAGTTGTGATTCTGGTGGCCATCCTAGACTAAAAGTCCCATAATTCTTATTCCCTGGGCATTCCAGTTGAATCTGTGACTATGTATGGGCCAACTAAGGTTCAACAAAATTTAATATATATCATTAAGAAATCTCAACAATTTGGTGGTACAAAACATTTAAGAATTAAAGGAGTAAGCTGAAGAAGGCTCTACTAAAACTTAGCTTTGAAATATTCGGAGAATCAGAAAACTAAAATCCATAGCAAGAACTGCATTCCAGAGTCATGTAAGTCTGCTATTCCTCAAAGTACGAAAGAAAAATGTGCCTCAGAACTGGCATGAAACACTGCGACTCTGCAAAGAGCCCCCCTCCCTCACAAATGAACCATCTTAAACATACTTTGCCATGTACTTTGCTAGTGCAAGTCTGTGTCATTCCAGAGAGTAGTTGAGATGGGGGACATGACCAGCCTAGAAAGAAAATAGAAGCTTTTAGGACTGCTGAGACGACAGCAAGATTAATGAGCAGCTAAAGGACAAAACCTCTGCTCCAAAACCAGACACCCTTTCATTGGATACCACGTAGTTCTTGATGAATGACTGTAATTGAGCCGGGAATTAGTCTTACATCATGGTGGTTGCTAAGCTGGTCAGCATATGACCAAGCCACATTTTATGCAGCAGTCATTAAGGAAATACCACCGTTGTTGGATGTGGCCGTTGTTAAGACTAGAGGATTCAACAGTGATTAAATGAATCCACAGAAAGTTAACATCAGAATCTAGCAAATATGCTAAAAATCATGGTCATGGTGAGTGTGTATGTGCTGCAGTTGGAACTCTGCAATCAGGTTGTAAGTATCTTTTCAGAGGACTGTTGTAACTTTGGTCATTAAGCAATTGGTCGTTATGCAAGGACTACCTGTTTTTTTTCCAAAACCATTAGAATTTCTTTAAGATATACTAATATGGAACAATATGGAAAGACACTGTAGATGCCTTAAAAATATTTGACCCTTTTTCTTTTCTTTACTTTGAATCATGCACACTTAGGATTAAAATGACTCTAGCGTTATAAAAACAATGCTACCTTATGTTATTAGCCACACTTCTGTTAGGTTTGTGATCTTGAAGTGTGAAGTGTGCGATGCAACAGGTAGGTAAGTGATGAAGTGGAGAAGGGAGACACAAGGATTTTTTTCTGGCTCTCATCATGAGATTGGACCTGGTACTGATTGTCCATCAGTATCTTAAGGCTGGATTTTAGGGAAAGGAGTTTTGGGGAATATACGACTTCAAATAACAAGAGGGTAGGTTCAAGGGGATGCTTGATTTACTGTGGCAAGTGAATCCCTGTATTGTTTCAATTATTTCTTTGATAGAAGCAACTCTCCAGGAGGATACACATTTCTACAAAAACGGTATGTGGTAGATGCCATACTGTATCTTCCTCCCAATCCTAAGGGCCCAATTTGTACTACTCACAGCTGGGCAGTTCCAAGAAGAAATGTATGTACAGATTGTCGTATTCATAACCCTGGGCTGAAACTAGGAAAGAAAAGGAAACACTGTAATAAAGCCTTATTCTCTGGGCCTTTTATCTTATTCTTAACCAAGCTGCCCAGTCCTATGAAGGTGCACACACCTTGCTAAAGAGACTTTGAGTTTAAAATAAAACCTGAGTGAGCTGGCTAATCAAACTTGTAGGATATTTTAGTCAAATCACAACTCTAGATCACTTGCAAACTGAAAATGTAAGCATTTTTCCTAATAACAAAAAGGCACCTAAATCAATATTAGGGAAACCACAAAACTAAATACAGAACTACAAGAGGTATAAATTAGTTAGCAGGATCACAATTTCCTCTACGCTGTCACACAGTTTCATAGGGCAAGCACAGGCTTCCAGTTACAGTTTGACCCTTAATATGCCTGGGGATCAATCTTGGGTTTGAATGTGGAAGGAGGAAAAACAAAAACTCCTCTAAGAATAAAAGGCTATCGTACCTATTTCACCATTAACAAAAAGTCGGAAAATACCAGGAGCAGTCTGCAAGAGGAAAGAATGAATGTTACCCAGCAGAAAAACTGCAGCTCTACATTAGAGTTTCTGTTGGTTGGATTTTTTAAAGCCTAGTTGGCTTCCTGCACCATGGCGTGGGTGGTGTTTTTGCCCTCCCCGGGCTCTGGAGGCTTTCTTCAAGCTTCTGGGAGGGCAAAAATGGCCTCCCTGGGCTCCGGAGGCTCTCTGGAAACTAGAAACAGGCCCGTTTCCAGCCTTCCTGAACTTCTGGGAGGCCCATTTTTCACCCCCCCCCCGAACCTCCGTGTGCACCCTGCACTTACCTGCATCCAAAACAGGTTGCATGGGGACTCCTGGGAGGGGCGGGGTGGGCGGGGCCAGCCAGGAGTGGGATTTGGAGGTTCTCCGAACTGTGCAGAATCTTAGCTAGAGGTTCTCCCAAACCTCTGTGAATCCCCAGCTGCCCACCCCTGCATTTTTCCCTCTCTAGGAAAAAATCACTATTGTAACACAACCTGCAAATTGCAGGAACTTTACCTATTGCTCAAACCATGTAAAAGGTTTGTTTCCAACAATGGTAACTGATCATGAATGTTGTGGTAATGCATTACAAAGCAGAACTCCAAATTCCACCAACCGGACACTTTTCCCACTAAAAATAGAACCAGATTGTGAGGCCCTGAGGTTTTGTCCCAAACAAGTTAAGATTGGGGTCAATAGTTACAAAGTAAAGCAGACATATCTGGTGCAAAAAGAAGTCATTTACCATCTCAAAGTCAGATCCAACAAGTCCACTGAGGTACTCTTTATGTCGGCTGTACAACTAAAGAATGAAAGATACAGTCAGAAAATAAGTCATATACCCCTTTTACAAATTTAGGCCCCCATTAGGAGCAAAAGATAAGAGTTCTTACATCCTTGAAGACACGTTGTTCCCGTGCTTCCTCCTTCTCTTCCACTGTGGCTGAGGCATTCTCTAGAGTGAATTTCCACATTTCCCGCTTCTCCCCTTCCAGCTCAATCCTTCAGGGAGCCAAACAACACAGCTCAACTCAGAGAAAAGATCTGTACAATTGACCTGCGATTGCCCCTTGACTCCAAATCATTTTCAGAGATCAAAGGACTCTAAGTGCTGCTCACCTGTAAGGCCCTTTTGTGCCTGTAAAATCTGGCTTGACTGTGATGACTCCATTGCCATCTACCCTGATCATGCAGAGAACATACTCATACTCCTTGCAACCAAGCCTACGGAGAAATCATTATAAAAACATGACCTGCTGCTCAGGGTTTAAATACTGGCAAGTACAAGATACATTCAGATGTGTCTGAACATACAGAACAATGTTATGTAAATCCCAGATCCAGGTCCAAAGGAAAACCCTAAGACATAGAAGATGGTTTTGAAATATTGGAGAGCTTCTATGCCATTCTAGCACCAGCACTTAGACTTATATACTACTTCACAGCGCTTTAACAGCCTTCTCTGAGTAGTTTACAGAGTCAGCATATTGCCCTCGACAATCTGAGTCCTCATTTTACCGACCTCGGAAGGATGGAAGGCTGAATCAACCTTGAGCCTGGTGAGATTCGATCTGCCAAATTGCAGGCAGCTGGCAGTCAGTAGCCTGCAGTACTGCATTCCAACCACTGCACCACCACTGTTCTTCTGGACTGCAATGAATTTGATCCATACCTGAATTCTAGGCCAGAAAGGATTTCATTCACTTGATACTTCATCACGTGGTCAAAATATAGCAGGGATTATTATATCTCTTTAGCACAGTCTTGGTTTTTGCTACCCTCTCAACACAAATTTATTCTAGAGAAAAATTCCCCAGAAATGGTAACATGTGGGACACTGTTCTCATGCAGCTGTCACCTTCAGTTCTATATCAAGGAGTGCTAATGACTTGTTCCATTTCAAACACTTCTTGGAACTTGGGGGGGGGGGGGGGGGCTGAGAAAAATCAATGGGGCTGCAAAGCTTTGATGCATAGACACACAAACTTACTTGCCTTGGGGTCCTAGGTCCCCCATAATATACATGGTCTGCACAGGAGTATTAAGGACATGGTTGTTCTTGATGAATTCTTCTGAAGGCTGCCAGGTGATAATTCGGGATTTCAGGATGTTTCCTTCTCTGCCAAGAGGGGCAAAGGAGATTGTTGCTTTTAGTGAAGCAGGTTTCCTTCTGCTTTGGCAGAACATATAGAAGAGCTATGGAATGCCAGGGTGGATCAAAATCTCTCCCCCCTCAAGCCCAAGAGATTTGTACAGCAAAAGCACTGTCCATGGCTGTACTTACACTGGCCTGCGTTCTTGTCTCCTCCTCCTCACATTAGCCATCATTTCTGCCAAATACGAAGGCACTTCCTTGTCAGAAGTGGTCATTTTCTGACCATGCTGGAATGTAAGAAGAGAGCTTGTTATACTCATTTAAACAGGAATAATGTGAGCAAAGTGGTTCCATTCAACCCAGGGAAATATCTTTTTAGTAATACTTTTGGTACAAAGCAGACAGCAAAGGCTCCAGTGGCAGCCCATCAAGGGAAAACATTTTAAAGTTTCCAAGGTTGAGAAACACTACACCAGAATTGAACACCTGCTAATTACTGCACATGCTTTCTTGGCAGTAATATGAAAGTGATTTGGTATTGCAATCTTTCAATATCTTTTTCCCACTTCCAACTGTTCTGGGCTTTCCTGGTGATCTTCCATCCAAACTTCACAACGATATAAGCCTGTCTAGCTTTGAAGGAATTTGCCAAGATTACCAAGATGCTACTATCTGTCTGAACTTTATTCTCTAAGCCAAGGGATTATATTTGCAATTAACAATATTAATTATTACTTAAGGATTATAAACATATTTTACATTACTTCATATTTGCTAGTAGGAACAATTCCTCTCTTCCTATCATTCATGCTGACATAAAGAATGGACTCTGGGTCAATCATCCCATCTCCCACCTATTTCCATCTCTGTTAAAAACCTAGTACCTCTTCTAGGTTGGTGAAGCGGTCATGGTCTGTGTAGGTGAAGATCCGCTTATTCTTTCGACCTCCCAACTCTTCCAGTTTTAGAATATCCTGATGGTATTGTCGGTCAAGTGGGCTCTGGCAGGCAGACTGATTCTGGTAAAGATCAACCTCAAACTAAATAGAGTAGAAAAAACAATTGTTGCTTGTATAACAAAGCCCTCCCTACAAAATCTTCAACCTATGGAACTACAGTATCAGTAAAGCACAGGTCCCAGCAAAAAACAGACAAATAGTTGGATTTGTTAGATGAGCAAATCACAATAACAAGCCACTAAATTCTGCAGGACTCATATCTAATTTAATTTCTCATATAGGTGCACTGAAGGTGAAGTATGAGAAACAAAGGGACACAGTTTGGACAGAATGTTTCACCAAGGCTACAATTCAACAAAATAGGTTGAAAGTAGTCCAAAACATTTCTATCTTTAGACTGAGCCATTAGTTTCTAAAAACCTGAATGAGAAAGTATACAAAGGAAGCCTGTCTTCTTTATTTAATGTGAAAAGGCAAACGCCCTTATGAGCATGATGTACAATATTGTTAAATTGATTCCCTATTCAAGGGAGTTCAACTAGGCAAGGAAATACCTGTGATATTCAAAGTGATAATAAAAAAGTTTTCTTTTGTATTGTTTTGAGTGTTAAAGATGTACAAAATTCCTTCTGAACATCAAATAATTGTTTTAAAAGCAGAATAGGCTCTTTCAAATATTTTCAATGCATCCCAAACTCCCAAATGTTCAGGGGTTTGGTGCTTAAGAATACTTGAAACAAAACACCTTTACCTCAGTGACTGAGAAAAAATGTAGGCCTATTGTTGAAATCTAGATGATTTATGGCTTCATATTTTTCAAGCTAGAAGCCTTTTGGAATGAAGTTAAACAGTCCATGAGATATCTATGTGAAATTTGCAAGAACAGCACACAATAAATTTGCAGGAACAGCACATGATCAGTCTGGACAAGAGGCTAGAACATTATGCTTGGATGAAGGAAATCTAGATTTCAATCAGTGCTCAGCCATCTGGATTACATAAGAATAAATTGAATAAGCACTGTCAGAAGCACTGAAAACTTGCTAAAATCATTAGTGGGACAATCATCCCATCTACTTACTTGACTGAAGAGTTTTTCTTGCCAGCCAATAACAGCCTCCTCTTTCTCCTCTTCAGGACCATGTCCACCTGAAACATAGACAAGCCTCCAAATTGTGCTTGGCAAGAATAATGGCTTGAAATGCTCCAACTCTCCCAGAATTTATTTTTCTCTTAGTTACCAATATACATGACATCTGGGCAGGCCTAATGATCATTTTATTACTTTAAATGTCTTTATATTCAGAATCAAAGCCAAAGTAAAAAAAACTTAGGAGTTAGCCACACTAAATCATTGCACATAGAGCGTTTAATTTGGTGGCTTAACAAGAAAGCAATGCAGGAAATGAGAAAATTATGGTGGGGAGAGCAGGCAATCTCACTGACCAAGGACATTAATTTTGTTAAGGTAAATGATATCTCCTGACCACCAAAATAAAAGTTAGTTTAAAAATGAAATAAAATTGTACAGAAATATCTCTTGGTTCCATGGTCATAATCTACAAAGAGAATATTTCAATTATTTGGTTTTATACTGATCAGACTTTGCAGTTTTAAGTCTTAAGACCTGACCAGACTTCCAGAAATCATTGTTCTTAGAGTACTCACTTGCTGAGTTGTAAGGCTGAAAAGTTGACAAGCCGATGAACTGTTGGCCTGATTGGCAGAAAGATTGCTGTAGCTGCTGTAGTAGAAGGCTAGTGGAAGTAACCTGCTGAATTTTAACCCTGCAAGAAAGAAATATATTGTTTTTGGTCATCTGAAATGTGACATTCAAAGTCAGCTGCTTGGGGGGGGGAAACTGAAAGCAGAGGAAGATTACACCAAATAACTGTTCAATTTAGACTCTTGTCCCTAGTAATCATTATCAGTTGGGAAGTATCTGAATTTTAAAAAATATTTTACTTTCTTTTAAAAGATATTTAAGAATAGAATATGGATGTGTAACAAGAGTAACGCAAAAAATGGATTTACAAACCATAAAAACGATAAAATGTTAAGAAAAACATTCCTCTAATATTCTGCCAGTAACATTAAATTAAGAGAATACATGGAAATAATCACAAATCAATCAATTTAAAATTATCAATAAGGTGAAGTCAGAAATTAACAATGGCAACTATAATAATAAGAATTTTCAATCAAAATAGTAAGATAAAAATTTCTAGCTAATCTGAAATAATCTGTCCTTAATTTTATTAACCACTTAAACAGAATTCAGCATTTTAAGATCTTAAGAGAAATTCAAAGTTCAATTGTGGCAGAGATCTATATGCAGAATTATAATTCATAAATGTTTTCCAAACTGAAGTCAACAGACATATTTTTAAAAAATATGAAATCAGTTTTGACATTGAATGAATACTTCCAGAGTTGGGTCTGCCTGTCTTCTAAAGAAAGAACTGAGTGTAATTTCCAGTGAAAAGTATAAAGTATCTCAGGAGCAGTTACGTACAATGTTACTTCAGTATACTTTGTAAAAAGATATAGTTAGTGATGCTTAACAGTAAAAGCAGTAGCAAGAAAAGAAAAATCAGAATCTAAAATCTGTTTCATTCTATTGGGAGGCATTTTCCACCAAGTCTGAATTATTACATTTCCAGCAGTACTGCATATATTATCTATTTCTATTATCTGAGCCTTTATTGGTGACAATAAGTAAATGTATGGTTTCTGAATTAAATAACATTTTGATATAAAGTTTATGTTTAAATTTTCCTCTTAAATTATTAATTTTCCAGGACTGTGGATACAGGTTTTTGTTATTCTTTACAGAGGTGTAATAGTGATTTTAAGGGGTGAGTTCTCTCATTTGAGCACTTGTACTTTAAATATACTTTTCCTGATTTTCAGATTAATTTTTTATTATCTTTGATTTTACAGTAACATTAATATTGCACAGTGGATTTTATGTAGTAGTTGTGATTAAAAAACAAGATGCTATGTTTTCTCTATGCATAGAGGAAGACTTTTGTTAATTAATTTTAGTTAGAGCTATCATATCAGAACTGTAAAACTCCAAAAACTGCATGTTAGTTAAGGAATACCAGTCACTCTTAACATTTGCTGATTTCTAGCAGTTGTCTATAGTTTTGCAGCACATAGTAGACATATTCTAATATTAATTTTGCTTTGTTTAAAAACTTATTTTGAATTCTGCATTTGGTAACTGTTACACTCCTTGATTATATTACTTAGAACTGCAGGATATTTTTAAAACTCATTTTAAAATAAGTTCCCTAAGATCTGTTATAGATCTCTAAATGAGAGTAACTATAACTGAAATGCATGTAATTTCTCATACTTTTATTTATATTTATTTTTATCACATTATTACACATTATTTCTATATCACTGCAGCTATGTTTGTAATTATTTTGTAGCATGTCTGAAATTATTTCTTTTTGATATTTTATATCAGGAACACTAACCCTAAGTTATTTGTGCATCTTGTCTTATGCATTTATTTTATTCTCATTCCTGTTACTGTCAGTTGATGCTGTGGTTGTTTACTGCTTATTTGGCACATTGTTATCAAACCCTCAGATCTCAGCTTGCATTTTAGTCTTTTAACTCAACTTTTAACATACACCCCCATAAATGCAAGCTACTGCCAACTTCGGGGGGACGACGACAATTTCTGCATTTTTGAGGTGAATTATAAATGCCATAGGACAAGACGCTTATTATATAGTACAATGGGCTTTAAACACACTTCTTTCAATACTACCGAACATTAGAGTTGCTCCTCCGCGATTTTTCTCTCGGGGAGGGCGGGCATTATTACAGGATTTGCCGCCTGTGCGCGTTTACGGGGCATTTGAGGTATTATTTTGAGCGTTTACACCAGTTTACTGTAAGAAAACCGAGTAAAATATATTGGTATTCCCTTTTGGAAACCAAATATATTGATGCCACAGGATCTTTTCCAGACTGATTTGTTTGACCGATGGGCGAGCTGCAAAGCAAAAGGGCGACTGGGAGTAACGGACTGGAGGCGGCAGCGGCAACTTTGAACCGCGGGAAGAGTTCGGGGCATTTCACGACAGAAAAGAGAAGGGAAGGGAGCACCAACCTGAGGCGCAGGTTACGGATGGGGTCTCGGGATCGGTAAACCGCCCCGCCCGTGTCTTCGTTCCAAGACGTCTCCGCCATCGCTCCCGGAGCGGGAAGAGGAAGGCAGCGGCGTCTGGACTAGGCCGCTTTTTCCATGGAAACTACAAGGTGGCGCTGAACATAAATATAGAAAAAGAAGAGGCCTCTAAAGCTTCAGTGGTACCGTTCCCAGGCTCCGTGGGGAAAGCCAGGGTTGACGTTCTCCGCGGGAGAATTAAGTGAAGCGATTGTGCAAGACGCATTTGTCACACGTCTGTAGATGTTCTCATAAGCGCACCAATCGTGCCTACCGTCCCTGTCCTATTGTTTTTTATTTTTCTTATAAGTATCTATCTCATGTATTCAAAACTATATTTATTCTTATACCTGTATCTTGTAAGCGATTGACAAATCAAATAAATACTAAAATACTAAATTATCCAGATCATGGTTGTCCCAAGGTGTTTTTTTCCAAAAAGCAACTGGAATTTTGGGTTGTTTTTTTTCTTTTGAAATCCCCCACCAGTCAGAACTGAAGCATTTTGGATGAGAGGCAAAATGTTTTCAAAGGACAACCCCCCTCCAAAAAAAGTCCAATTGCCTTTTTGAAAAGCACTCTGTTTGTCATATAATCATTTTTTACAGACCCCTAGGCTTAGAAGAGGCCATTTAAGTTTTGGTTTGTAGAATATACAACCATATAGAATCATAGGGCTGAAAAGGACTTCAGAGGTCTTCCTAGTCCAATCTCCTGCTCAAGGCAGATCATATACACCCAGGTCAAGTGTTTTTCCAGTTTATTTTTGAAAACCTCCTATGATGGACCATCAGCAACACTGGAAGGCAAGATGTTCCACTGATTGTTATGGAAAAAATATCTCCTTATTTCTAGGTTGGATCTGTCTGACAAGGTTCCACTTCTTGTCCTGCCCTCTGATACTTTGGAGAATGTGTCAATCTTCTTCCTTGGTCTTCATCAAATGCAATGGAGGGAACTTGTGAAAGCCATTTTCCATCATACGTCGCAATAATACTTTTAGATCTCTAAAAAGAGATCCTGTCCTAAGTCTGTTGGGATATTCTCAAACAGCACTATTTGCATCAGGAGAAGCATAAGGGCACTTATCTGGTCACTGGCTATCTGTCAGCAGAAACCACTTAGAAATATATATGGGACAGTCAGACCAGGCTCTAAGCAAAAGCCTAAAAGGTTACAATTCCATCATTTGATAATGGCAGTATCCTGAAAAGACCAGAGATGGCATTTCAGTTCCTCAGAATGCCATCCTTGAACAAGATAAAGTTAGTTCAGTTCAGAAACCAAATTTTTGTATCTACTAATAATCAGAAGAGGGCCTATTAATTGTCTCTAGTATCATTGTTATCATCTTAACATAAATCATGGCTTTTGTCCTTTAAAAGCAAAACCTGCTATATGATGGCTGGGCTTGGGATCTGAATATCAAATTCATCCGGTAAGTACTCTGGAGAGGAATTTCTTTGAAGACCCTGACCTTGCAATGCTGTAGCTCTGTCCAAATGCACATTCCCCCTCCCCCCACAACTTAGTAGCATCCAGTAGTTTAAAACATGTTAATTTAAATGGGACATTTTCTTGACTTAATTGGATTATGGTCTATAGGTTACATTTGCCTCACATTCTTCTAGCTTTAGATGCGGCAGTGGCAATCCTTGAAGTTACGGACTGATTTTGTGCTCTCCTACTCTTGCCCAAGGAAAGTTCTCCATGAAACCCTCCCTAACAAAATTCTTCAAGCTTTCTTCAATGCTAGGTTGAAATATGTGTATTTGGGAGATGGCAGAAAATTAGACCTACATGAAACGTATTATTCCCCTTGCTAATCAACCCCAATCTTGTTTTTACTACAGTATATTCCTCCCCATTCACTTTAGTCCCAATATCCAAAGTAACAGGTGAGAAAACCTAATCCTTTATCACTTTTATAATATAGGAACAATGGTGAAAAAACAATAGTGCCAGTGGAGCTGAGCACCGCTTAATCCTGTTTCATGAATGGAGTGGGACTTAGATGAAGGCAACCATCATGGGAAATGCATAAACAAGGATGCTGTCAAGGTAAGTTTGTCATGATTCCCATGCAAATGGGAAGAGGATTTCCTATGCTAGCCGACCCATTTCTTGTTGTGAATATCTTTCCCCCATCCCCAAATACACTTTCTCACACATATACTATTTCAAATAGTTTAATTTTAAAAATATTCTCTTCAGTGCTAAAATATCTCTTTTCTTCCCTGCGTGGCCAGCACTTTTCATGGCAGCAGGGCCCTGATCATGAAGTCAGTTCCACATGCAGATTGTGATGGGGAGGACAGATCTGCAGAGACTAGAGAGGGTCAGGGGATTGGTGCTAGCTGTGCTAGGTGGCTATTCCACCCCTGAGAAGGGCTGCTCAGAGACAATACCCCTTTGGTACCTGGGAAGATATTCTTCACTCCGAGGCCCATTTGCCAGACTGCAAAGGAGAGCCCTTTAGCCACCTAGATGCAGCCCAGCCTTCACTTCCTAGAACACCTTCTTAGCTGCAGCACCATTATCCTTCCCTGGAGGGGAAAGTTTTTGCTCCCTCCAGCACTAATGGCTTAACCCCACAACTATTGCACAACATCCCAGGCAGACTTCCACCAGGTCCTGACTCACTTCCAGAGAGAATCTTTCACTGTCTGGAGGAGAAAGGACAGGAAAGAATTTGTGAGCTACCTGTTAAGTGCAGATAACTCCTCTTTCTTACAGGAACCTTCTTAGCTGCAGTCCCCAAAGCTCACAAAGAGGATAAATAAAAAGTATACAAGAGAGGTTGTAACCACCTCATTCCTTAAGCGTGCAAGTCAAGAGGATGTGGCTGAGAGGAGATTGCACAAAAGGGACAAATCTTAACACAGGATTAGCAACATTTCATCTGGAGAGGTTATGGAAAGAGCAGGTTGATTCTTGGAGGACACTGCACAGGAGAGAAACACGGAGGTGGAGAATACCAACTTTCAAACAGTGGTATTTTCAGAGGGAGGGGCAGGTGGAGTTTTGAAAACAACTGCATCACAGGATGAAGCAGACTGACTAGCTCTCAGAGGCTGCATGACATATGGAGTTCTGATCTGCACAAAATCTCTTAAGTGGAGGTGCACCAGAATCTTCCTCCCCTCCGTTCACCTGAAAGAAATAAAAATATGGTTAGCTGGGTTGTCAATACAGGCATGACCATTTGGTTATGACCATTTGTTTAGCGACTTTTCAAAGTTATAGTGGTGCTGAATGATTGCTAGTTAAGTGGTCCTTGAAATTTCATCAATGCCCTCAGTCGTATAATCAAAATTTGAATGGTTGGCAGCCTGTGCACATTTATGACCTCAGGGTACACTTCAGCTCCCTCCTTTTGTCTGTTTTTCCCCCATCTCTGCCCTTTGGGCTGTCCTCTACTCCGCTGCCTCTGCTGCCCCATTAACCCAGATGACCTTTGCCACCTGGTCAGCAACAGGAAGATGGCAAAGGTCATCTGGGGACAGTGGGGAACAGTGGGGGAGGGCTAAACAGCCAAAAGGGCAGAGATAGGAGAGGAGATGGGTGGGCAGAGTGAATTGAAGCAAAGGTAAGTGCTGCAGGACAGGAGAAACATGGGGTCCTGACCTGGCAGTGGTGAGTCTTGGCCTAATGACCAGAGCCAGGACTACTTGGAAGTGCCATGGTTAAGTGATGTTTTGCCTAACAAATGCTTCACCCAACAACAAAAATTCTGTCCTAATAGGGATGTAACCTGACAGACTGTATAGAACGTGAACAAAACCTGTTTTACAATGCTGATATGAAAAATGTGGAAATATTTCCAATGATGTGACCACATCCCTTTCTTAAATGAGATTCGTCCAGAAGTACATGATTGGATTTTCTGAAATGAATGTGGACATTATGAACATTATTCATGTGCTTTGAACAGCCTCTTCTAACTGTCTAAACCTGAACTTTGTACCTTGTGTTCATGCCAGTATTACAAAAGTTGTTGGCCACCATCTTTTTAGTTTAGGAAGTTGAAGAAACTTCAACTTCCTAAACTAACTTATATCCCAGGATTTCCTGATCTTCAACTATCCTGCTTAATTTTTCTGAGATCAGCCAAAGTTGACTTAATGCTGCCATCTACTGTGTAAAGCAGTTATTAAAACCACTATAATCTAAGTAAGTCTCTTTTTTCAGGGTAATGAAAAGACACAAGTTCTATGAGGTGTAAAATGATGATTTTTTTTTTGTATATTTGAGATTACTATGCATATTTTGGGTTTGGGACTGTGATTGTCTGGCTGCAGTGCCGCAGATACTCCAAGAATCAGTTCCTCGACCATCACAGAAAGGATTGAGAAATATGAAATTAATGTTGGTCTTGCTTTACCTTCAGCATTTATGGTTTGTTGAGTGACAAGGCCCTTATCTATGCAGGGCACAAACAAGGAGAAACACCCACCCCTGGAAGGTTCCATATTCAAATGGCCATTACTTATTTTATAATCTGATATTGCTAAGAAGTGAATCAGCAACCAAGGAATAGTGTATGGTTTCCTAGAGTTAGGGTTATGGAGATGTGTAAGGCACTGTAACCCTTTTGAAAATGGAAGCAAATAAGTGTTTTCAATTGATATTTGAATAAGACTATCAAGAATATGTGAATGACTCTATTATTGTTTTTGTACCACAGGATCTGTCAGTCTCTTTGCTAAATGCTGTTTCTTTTCTATTTTTTAGGCTACATGTTTATAGTAACCAAAAAATACAAAGTGTAATACGTGGCCAAGATGTGACTGTCATCTAATGCTTCACTGCATGGTACCTGTCATAATGTAGTAATATTTGCTCTTCTGAAAATCTTATGTTTCCTTGCCTTTTGGACCTCCCAAACAGGAAATATTGTGGAGCTATTACAGATGAACTAAAGCAGGGCCTTCAAATCCTTCAGATTCTTGGTAAAAGGAATATTCAGTTCAGCAAAAGATTTTTTTTTTAAAAAAAAACCTATCCAGTGTATTATGAAGGCTTTAGCCTTAAAAGATACTACGATATTGATTTGCAATTACATCATGGGTTGCCAGTATTTTTTTTTAAATTTGTTGTTGTTGCTGTATCAGAGGAAACCCCTAATGGGGTCTCCAACCTTTCTGGTTTTGTGGAGTGGCAGAGTGGGGGGTGGGGTGGGGAAAGGGATGGTTTTGTGCTCACCTGCCTGCTGTGCACGCAAGTGGAGCTGTGTGCACACGTGTGCTCACCTGCTGCTATGCCCCGATTCTGAATGGGCCTCAGCCTGGTATTGGGCCATGGCCTGGGGGTTGGGGACTCCTGCCATAGTGGTTTTCCAGTAGAATAATTGCCTTCCAGATCTGTAAAATCATTTTAAGGGACTTTTCTTTCTCCCCACTCGTTGCTTATCCAGAAAAGCACAGGCTGCAGAAGGATGTATCAGCCACTCTTGATTAAACAACATCTCAGAAGTGGAACATCTGAATGACTACATTTGGTCTGGAGAGCTATACAGGACTGGACTTGCTTAGCACTTGATGAAAGAACTCCAGGGAATACCTGGGAGACTAGGCTGTCCTAAGAAATCATGTTAGAAAAGGGCAATGACAGATTACTAAGGGAGATATATGGATGTATCCATCAAGATGCTAGAAATCAAGCTGGCCTTGACACATATTTTATTTTAGATTGTAACACATGGAAAATTAACCAGAGCTAATCAACTTTCTGATTAAATTCATGGGCTGGCTAGGAACTCTAGCTGAATGTTCAGACAGAAATGTGTGAATATTAATACTATATGCTGCTAAAGAGTGTGGGTCTGAATCTGCCTTAGGAAGCTGTTGCCTATTCCATAGGCCTTACCTGAGCCTTGAGTTTTACTGGCTCTTCTTTTGTAAGGGTTGGAGGCTCATCAGCTACTTCTGATGGAGGGAGAGCAGGTTCTGAAAGTTAACAAGAAAAATGGGTCAGTGACACTTCAAGGTTTTTATTGAACTGGAGAAGTATGGCTATTCAATACTCCGGAGAAGTCAAAAATAGCAAGGATAGTATGCTGTTACTACTGAAGCCCCTTACCAGTAATTCTACATAATATGTCAGGCCTGTCTTAGTTCTCCCTCAGTGGCGACAGGAATGAGTTTTTGTGATGCCACAACTCTTTAGCCAAATGACTCACCTTCCAAGGGCTCCTGTCCCAGCGTGGGTGGCTGTGAATCGTCAGTGCGGAAGTCAGAAGTGTGGCTAGGGCTCATGGATTCACTTTGCTGTGGACTGGGACTGGAAGCAGCACTACTGTCTGCCTTTAGCTGATAGGTGTCTGAAAGGGAGCTCTGATTGCTGTTCTCATCTGGGGAAACCAGACAGAAAAAAAAAAAGACTTTTCAGTGAGCGGGAACCAAAAGTAGCACTGCAGGTATACCTGCAGGATAACTGAAATGAAACTCAGATTTTCAGATGGTTGTTCCCTAAGACATACTACTTCACACCATGGGTAAGTAAAACGTGTAATCCCCTCCCCTTGTCAGGGTCATTCTCGAACAAAGATAGCC